GGGCAGCGGGTCTCGGGCGCACCTTGGCTGGGCTGTGGCCCTGGGCTCCCCCGGAGCGCTCCCTCCCTCGAGGCCGGGGCCGTAGCGGCTGAGCGGCGGCATGCGGAAGGGACCTGGGCCGCTCGAGCCCGAGGAGGCGGCGGCCGCCGAAGGCCGGGCGCTGTTCAACGCGCTATGCAATTTCGCGGCCGGCTACCGGCAGCTGGCGATGGGCGTGGGCAGCTCGGCCGACGGGCAGCGGTTGCGCCTGGCGCTGGGGGAGGGCGGCCGAAGGGGCTTCGAGCTGAGTCAGGGTGAGCTGGCAGCTCCAGGAGGGTGCCCCGGGACGGCGGGTGTATGTGGGGGGTGCGCTTGGAGGCCAGAAGCCAGGGGAGACAGGTGAGGCCTCCTCACTTGCCCACTGTCCTTTTTTTTTTTTTTGGTACCGGGGATCGAACTTGGGACCTTGTGCTTGCTTGCAAGTCAGGCACAGTGTCGGTGAGCTAAATCCCCGGCCCCCCACTGCCCTTTATTAGAACTTCGGGTCTTGGTGCCTTCATCTGGAGGGCACTGAGAGTGGGTGTCCATCCACCCCAGGCTGCATTATTTCTGCTTGGAGTGCTTTGCCCTTCCAAGTGCTTCTTCATGCTGTGTGCTGGCCGCGGTAGGGGAGCCTGGAGACACACCCTCCACGAAAGAGGTTCTGAACTCATCTTCTGGACCCTGGATCCCTGCCTCGCCCTGTCTCCCGGCCTTCAACTCCCTCACTTTGCTCCCTAGAGGACCAACGGCGGCACGATCCAGTTCAGATGAAAGCTGACCTGGCCACTCTCCTGTTGAAAGTTCATCAAGGCTCCCCAGTGCCTCTAGAATCAACTCCAATAATTCCTTCCACCCCCCCCTCCCTTCCCACATCCCATTCCTGATAGGGATGTAGGGTGCATTTTCAAGCCCCAGATCCTTTGTATATGCTGTTCTCACGCCCTGTAATGCCTTTCTCCTTCTTATAGGCCTAGCGAGTTCTTCGGAGGACCTTGTGCAGATATCATCTCCTCCCTTGATGCCCACTCCCAGTGGCTGCAAAAAAAGCCCCCGTCCCTCTTTGTACACAGCTCAGTTATAGCAGGCGTCAAGCTGTAGATAACTAAGTGTAGTGACCAGCTGTTAGAGTCAGGTTATTTTTTTTTTTTTTTTTGGTACCGGGGATCGAACTCAGGTCCTTGTGCTTGCGCAGCAGGTGGCGAAACCACTGAGCTAAATCCCCAGCCCCCTTTTTTTTTTGTTGAGACAGGGTCTCACTATGTAGTCCAGGCCCACGTTGAACTGTTTCCTGAGTGCTGGAATTACAGGTAGGTGCCACCACGCCTGTTCCAGTGCTGTTGTTCTCTTGTTTAGTTTCTGTGGTGCTGGGGATCAAGCTGAAGGCCCTGCAAATCCTAAGCAAGTGTTTGACCACTGAGCCACATCCCTAGCCATATATATTTTTGTTTTTTTGGGATAGGGTCTTGCTGCACAGTCCAGGCTGGCCTTGAACTTGTGATCCTCCTGCCTCAGCCTCTGGAATGCTGAGATTACAGGCATGTACCACCATGCCCAGCTATCATCATTCTTGAAACTCTGTACTCTACAGTTACTGTATTCATTACCACAGCCTTCCCTTACCATCCCTTGGGCCTTTGTATATGCTAGACTCACTCCCTGGAATTCCCTTCCCCTTCTTATTAGCCTGTCAGTTTCATCAGCAGACAAGGCCTCTCTCAGATACCATCTCCTCCCTTGATCCCTGCCCCCACTGCCTGTGGAAATAGTTCTTGTCCTGTCCCCCCCCCCTTTTTCCCCCTCATTCAGACATTTCTCAGCTTGGATTTTCAACCAGAAATAGTGCTGGGGTTTAGTATTTATTAAGTGCCTACTGTGTTCTGTATCTTTGCCTTAGAGACATTGATTGGCTCATTCATGCACGCAACACCCCAGAAGCAGATCACGTTAGCCCCATTTTACAGTTGAGGAGACTAAGGCCTGATGAGGCGAAGTGAGGGATGCAGGGAATTACCTGGATAATATTGCTCTGTGGCGGTGGGAGCCAGAGCAGGGCTCTCAGCTGTGGTACCATCTACTTGTTAAAAGGTGTTTTACCTGGATGTCCTGAGCACTTCAAACTGGCCCTGCCCTGAACGGATGCAGCATCCCTCTTGTCCTTCTCTGTTCCAAGTCTCAGTGATGGTTTCTTGAAGATAGGACTCATTGTCCCCGTTAGCACTCACTCTCCATGCTGCTTTTTATCTCCAGACCATTTTATCCCTCCCCTCCCTGGCCTAGCTTTTCTTTTTCCTTTTGGTACCGGGGATTGAACTTGGGACTTTGCGCTTGTGAGGCAGGTGGTGGAACCACTGAGGTAAATCCCCAGCTCCTAGTGTTTTAACTCAGGCCACCATGCCGTTTGAAAGGTGTTTTCTAGAAATTCATTGCATTCAATCGTGTTGCATGGATGGGAACAAGAATCAGTTTCTAGTTATTTCCTGTACTAGAGTTCCTTTTTTGTGCAAGTCTCCGAAATCTAAGCCTAACAGACTTAAGCCAAAAAGGGACTTGGTTTTTATCTTTTTGGTACTGGGGATTGAACTCGGGTCCTTGTGCTTGCGAAGCAGGCGGCGAAACCACTGAGCTAAATCCCCCGCCCGAAAAGGGACTTGGTTAATGGAACTGGGAGCCAAGACAAGAATCGGAACCCAGAGCCTCTCTCCGGCTTTTGGGTGTTTTGCTCTGTTTGTTTTTCTTCCTACTATATCTGGTCTCCACCAGCAACCTAGATTGACTCCTTCCTCTGTTACTAACCCCATTAGTAAAACACTTTTATTGTCTCCCAGTGATAAATTCCAGAGAACAGTGATTGATTGTGAACCACAGTTTAGTGCTGAGTTCCTGTGACTGACCCAAGATAGGCTAGGGGACCAAACGCTATGATCAAGGACCACACGTAGAGGCTTCCCAGTGGCAGACAAAAATAAATCCACCTCAGCATTTACATAAAGCCAATTTGCAGGGCCTTCAGCTTGATCCCCAGCACCACAGAAACTAAACAAGAGAACAACAGCACTGGAACAGGCGTGGTGCACACCTGTAACCCCAGGACTGAGGCAGGAAGGAGCTGCAAATCCTAAACAAGTGTTTGACCACTGAGGCTGAGGCAGGAAGATCACTGAGAGTTTGAGGCCAGCCTGGGCTACATAGTGAGTTCAAGGGCAGCCTTCACGACATAGTCGCAAAAAACAAACAAATTAGCACAAGGTTCTGAACTCTTCTTTTCTCAGGCATCCTCTCACCTGGCGATTTTCAAACTTGAGAGAGGATCAGAACTTGGCAGGATGTTGGGGCCAAGGATTTGCCCTTCTAACAAGGTCCGGATGATGGTTCTACTGCAGGAAGGCCCACACCTTTTTTTGAGACAGACTCTCATCGTGTTCAGGCTGGCATTGAACTCACTACTCACAGTTATCTTCCCGCCTCAGCCTCTTGAGTGCTGGGATTACAAGGGTGTGCCATCACATCTGGCCTCACACCTTGTTTCTTAACGAGACCACCACAGTTAGCATGTCATTGAGAAGCTGACTAGAAAGGCAAAGCTGCCTTTTTCTTTTTTGGAGTGATGGGGATTGAACCCAGGGCCTTCATACTGAGCTACACTCTCAATCCTTTTTATATTTTATTTTGGGACAGGGTCTCAGTCACGAAATTGCCCACACTGGGCTGGAACTTATGATCCTCTTGCCTCAGGATTACAAGGCATGCACCATTGTACCTGGCTAAATCTTTCTTTTAACATGAGATTGAGGTACAAGATGATTATTCAAGCAAGAAAGAAAAATTAAAAGGACATTTTTTTTCCAGTACCGGGAATTGAACTCAGGACCTTGCATTTGCCAGGCAGGCGCCGCACCGCTGAGCTAAATCCCTGCCTCTAAAAGTGAATCCCCCAATTTTACACACGAGGACATCCATGTTCCAATCCTAGGCCTAACAACTACAGTTCTTTACATGTGGGTGGCTGACAGGGTGCACAGGGCAAAGGAGAGACCTGGGCTAGCAGGAGTAAAGGGGACCATGAGGGAACCTTCCTCACAGGTCTTCCTGCCTTCCCTCCCTCTTCCCCAGGCCTGCACGATCAGCTGTTGGCAGAGCTGACCCTGTCTGGTGCCAAGGCAGAAACCCAGGCAGAGTTGGAGTGCACTTGGGTGCTGTTTCTGTCCACCCTGGAGATCTTCCCGCAGGACCTGGGCCGGGCCCATAGCCTCAGCCAGCTCTTCCCAATGCGTGCAGCAGGGACCCAGCTGGTCTGCACAGGAGTGTCCTCTCAGGGGTCCAAAGGCTGGAGCTTGCAGCAGGCCAGCACAAGAGCAGCCCAAGGGGTGGGGGCACTGGGCAAACGGGTGCAGCGGGTGGCAGAGCTGCAGTCAGAGATGGAACAGGAAGTGAATGTGCCCCCTTGGAGTTTGGAACCATCCATGGGGGACCTAGGGTCAGAGGCAGGTTTGGAGCTCAGTCCTGAGGGTTCTGACAGGGGAAAGGCTTTCTCTGGTTGTCTCCCCACATTCTGGGCCTGCTGTAAGGTCACCTAAGGGCTCCAAGATCTGTTACAAAGCAGGTGGCTGGCCCTCTGCTCCCTCCCAGATACTCTTTATTCTAAGGTCTGGTTCAGTTTCATCTGTAACACAGTTGGGGCTGCTGTAGCATTCACTAAAACTCCTGGTGCAGGTAGAAACAAGCTTTGCATTGTTGTTGCCGGGGACTGAACCCAGGTACTCTGAGTTTTACCACAGAGCCACCCCCCCAAAAGGCACTCAATTTACAGAAGAATGATAAAATAGCTAAGGCTACAAAGGAACACATCCTAGTTTCTTCACTGCTTGGCCCCACAGCATAGCAATAAGCTGCTTTCACCACTACAGAGAACAAGCAAGAGCCCAGATGCCAAGCCGGACCCCCACTGCCAAACCAAGGGTTAACTGCAAGCCAGAAACGTGTACAAAAAGCAACCAAAATGTGTTTATTTAATATACAATGCAAAGGCTCAACCACAGACTTAATTTAAAAAACAAACAAAACAACACCACAGCTCAAGGTACAGTGTCCTACACAGAAATCAAGAAAAGGACAGACTGAAGAAGAAATAAAGACACTACGGGGAGAGGCTGGACAGCCTGGGTCAGGGCTCTTGGCTGGATACTTGCTTTGAGTAGGTTTCTTGCAGGTACTTCTTAAAAGCTGGAAGAGAACAGGCAGGCATTGGGTGATAAGAGACAGGAGTCAATGAAGGTGGCCAAGAGAACAGGGCAGCTTGAGCAGGCAGGGATGCAAAGGTGGGGAGGGGCAGCCCAGCCAGATGGGTCTCCTGATGGTTAGAGGGCACAGGTGATGCGATCTACCCACCGCCTCCTCTCGATTTGTGTGACTGCACAGGGAGTCCACTGTTTATAGCACAGGAGAGCACCACAGCAGAGGCAGAATGGGCCGACCACCCCCTTCCCTCAGCTCAACCCAGTCCCAAGTCACCAGGACCCTCTCGGTTGAGGGCACCTCTGAAGGATGGCAAGGACCCTGTGCTGAGGACCCACCTGCGGGGTTTTTCCAGAGCTCTGCAGCATGTGTGTTCAAAGGACTATCGATGTTGGGTTCTGGGAGTGGAGAGACACATGGTCAAAGGGTAGAAGAGGCTGGCCCAGGAAAGTCCCAATAGTCACCACGTTGTTGGAGGGAGTGGCCTCAGAAGTCACCTCCTAGCAGGCTCTGGATGGATAGCAGGATGGTCCTGACGTCGTACAAGGCGGACCACTTGTCCTTGAGGATGTCCAGGCAGATGTTACCCTGGGTGTCCACATTGGGGTGGTAGCAGGGAGTGAGGAACTTCACTGTGGGTGCGTTGTAAGGGTAGCCACTGGGAAACTCCAGGGAGAGCTTATACCTCAGGTCTTCATATACCTGGCATTGGGAAAGAGAGGCAGGGACTAAGTTTCCCCATGTGAGACTCGTATTCCAACCCAAGACCCATGTAAGGAGCCTGCTAGGTAGGCTCTAAGTTTTTTATATGGGAAAGGAGAGGGGACAAAATGTTAAGCTGATTCTGGTGCTTTCCTCTTATTTGATGGGGACAGCCAAGACCCTTTAAGGGTTGTAAATTGGTATCCTGAGGGCTACCACAGCTGTGCTTTAGTCTCAGTTTTATTTATTTTTGGTTTTCTGAGATGGGGTAGTTCAGGCTGGCCTTGAACTTATTGTGTAGCCCAGGGTGGTCTTGCCTGTGATCCTACTGCCTCAGCTTCCTGAGTGCTGGGATTACAGGCATGTGCCACCTTGCCCAGCCTAATTAGTATTTTAGTTATTAACATGAAAAAATTAAATTTGACAGAGATGTGAATTTCTGACTTACCTTAAACCAGATCTGTAGCAATGGGCCCTCCCAATGGTCTAAGTCCACAGTCCATTTACTTCATTGTGGTCTGGCCCCTTAGACAGGGCTTATTTTTCCAGGTACTAGGGATTTTTTCTTTTTTTTTTGAGACAGGGTCTTGCTATGTATATGTAGTTCAAGCTTGTCTTGAACTTCCTATAGAGCCTCCCTATAGGCCTCGAACTCATGGCAATCCTCCTGCCTCAGCCTCCCAAGTGCTCGGATTACAGGCATGTGCCACCACACCTGGCTGCCAGGTACTTCGGATTGAAACCCCTGCCCTTTTAAAATTTTGAGACAAGGTCTTGCCAAGTTGTCCAGGCCTGGCTTGAACTTGTGATCCTCCTGCCTTAACCTCCCAGAATGCTAGGATTACAAGCACCATGATTGGCTAAACAAAGTTTTAAATCTTTTTATTGTACAGAAGAGAACAAGATCACAAGGCTCAGAGCATATGAATAGGCACAGGGGCATTGTCTTGGGCAGCTAATGGACTGAAGCAGCACTGGTACCTGGATCTCACCTCCTTCCTGACCCTATACTTACTGTGCCAGCTGCTCCGTGGATGGTCCCTACCCATTTGAAAAGGTTGTCTGATTCAGGGAAGGCAGAAATTCCTTTGTCACCAGACATCTGAGGAAGAAACAGTATTTGGTGGATTGCAGAGTATATTTTAGGGGATAGCAAAGGGTCAGTGTGTGGTCCCTGCCCCTGATTTCATCACAGGCTTAAACAACGAGCAAGCAGCCCCAAGTGACAGGTTCATCACCAGGCTAAGGAAGGAGGGGTTGTACAGTGAAGCAGAAGGCAGCTGTGCATCCACAAGCTTCTTGGTTGCCAGGAATTAAAACATTCAATTCTTGAAATATATTAAAAAATCTGACTTGAATATTTCAGGTTAATGTAGCAAAGAACAACTAGGAAGGGAGAATTCCAAGGCACGACAGAATTAGATTACCAAGAAGGGTGAGGAATCAGGCATGGGTGAAGCTTGAGACCAGGAAGTAAGGACAAGCAGGACAGGGAAGGCTCTCTGTGACTTCAGGGAACTGTTTCACTAGGGGGGATAGAACTGGGATAGAGACTGCTCCAAGGAAAGGTGTGGGTGAGAGTATGACAGACTTTCCAGAAGACAGTACATGATAATGACCTTTGTCTATCTAACAAGGGGCTTATGTAGGAAAGGACGCTACCGATCATTGGGTGGGAGGGTGGACCAGCTGAATGCGGATTTGAGAGCCCTCAGTCACTCACCATGAGGGTCATCAGCTCCTGCTGTAGCCTGCGAAAAGAATTTAGGGTTACCTAGGAATCTGGATGGGCCGGGAGCTCTCCAGTTGGTGCATTTCTTCCCTCCTGAATCTCTGAGGAGCTGTCACAGAGGCTTCCCCTTTCTCCGAGGTCAGAGTCAGCTGGGGGAAAGCTCATGCTCATCTCCATAGGAGAACCCTAATGAGTTTTCACCCTCCCTAATTCCTGACCCTTGCCCTGATTCTGGCGTGTCTTAACTCCCCACGCTCCTCGGGCGTCTTCTGGGAGGATCCTGACAGTAGTCTTCCTTTAGGAGTCTCACAGAGTAGCCTGAGCTTCTGGCCTCCCTCCCACCCCTCACCTCAACTCCAGTATCTCACCAGCACCACGAGGTGAGGGTCCCATTAGTCTTCGCCGTGGGTCCCCAGACTCGACCAGTGTTAGCTCCGGACTACTTACCTCTTGCCCACAGGGCCCCGGGCAGCGCCCCCGCTGGGCTCGGCTCCTTTACGGGCGGCGGCGGCAGCGACACTGGCGGCGGCGGGGTCGCGGTTTTGGGAGGCCATCCGGGAGGCGCCGGTAGAGAGACAGGAACTCTGAGAACAGGACTGCAACTGCGAGGCTGGGAGCCGCCCGCCTGCGTTTGAATTGTAACCCTCCGACAGCGTCGACCAATCAGCGGCTCGCTTGGGTTTAATCCAGCCAATGCGGTGCGCCAAAGCGCTATTTCACTGCGCAACTGCGAACCGCACCCATCAATACGCCACTATTGGCCGATGCGGGGGTGGGGTGGGGGTTGCTTCTAACAGTCGATTGGCCAGAAAGGCTGCCACTAAGAAGTCTGTAGCGAATTGACGGCCTTTGGAAAATGCCGACCATTAAAAGGCCAAGAAAACAGCAACGTGCGATAAATCCCTTAAAATTAAAAGCCTGTACTAGGCGTCTAACGTGCCGGGCCTTGATCCTTTCTTCCAGGAATAGGGACTATCTCCAGTCTTCCGGACCTGATATCCTTCCCCCAAACCGGAAGCCCCCGCTCCTCCCCCTATTACAATTGGCCTGGCACCGGGTCCCAAGTGTGTCTGGGAATCCCGGGGTGTGGGCGATAAGACTAGAGAGGCTGAATGAAGGCCAGAGCAGCAGACTCCCTGTTATAAAATGTAGGTTCAGGCCACGCCCTCCTCTTGGACTGGTTTGTTGCGTGACACTGAGCAGGTCGATATTTGAACATGTAAAATGATAATAAAAGCCAACGCTGCATTTTTTATATAGTCTGTTAAGCAAACCTCCATGGGACTAGCTAACATATTCTGCCAGTCCTTGCATTGGTAGGTAACCCCCCCCCCCCCCCCAAAAAAAGAAAAAGTGATGGAGGTTGGCAAGCTGGGCGTAGTGGAGCACGCATGTACTTGGGAGGCTAAAGCAGGAGGATCAAGTTCCAAGCCAACCTGAACTACATGGCGAGACCCTGTCTCAGAAACAAACAATATTGGCAAAGTACGCGGTATTAGTAGCTAGGTCTCCTAAAGCCTAGGTCTATGAGATGGGGAAGGGTTATCTGGGCCTTTTTTCTATACCTATTTCTAGAACCCTTGACATTTTATCAGGCCCCTACATGGCAGATGGCACAGCAGGATCACGGTCTGTGTTTACTACAAACGGTTTAATTACTTCTTATCCCAATAACTTTACAAATATAGACCCACATGTCAGTCTGGGGTGCTCTGCCGGGCATCCCTACAGACTAGCTGTGCAGTTTAATGCTGCGGAAATCCATCTAGGAGCAGTCCCAGCAGTAGCCTCAGCATGTGGGGAAGAGGGTCCTGGAGCCTGGCTGCTATCTGTTGCCGAGAGATCTGGCCTCAGGTCTGCACAGGTGCTTCAACAGCATGATGATCATTCTCTGTCCTTAGTGTCTCCATGTACTTTCGCATCTTCTCAACCATCCAAGAGGGCAGAACAAAGGATTTCAGCTCATCTAACTTCAGGTCCAGGCATCCTCTAGAGTAGATATTGAGGAGAGAAGTTAAAGGCGGGCAGAATGTAGGCCCAGCCTTACCCCAGGAGCTACTTTGAGGCAGAGAGGACTGTAGAGGCCAGGAGACCCAGTGGTTTACCTGTAGTCGTCGCTGGCAGCGAGGTCCCGGATGTCCTCCTCGATGAGGAGGTAGGCCTGGGGCAGGAACAAGGGAGAATAGTAACTGCCTGATTCATTTCACTCCAACTCAGTAATCCTTTATTAAGCATCTGCTTAATGTAAGGCCTGCTACTAGGTGGAGGAAAGTGTTTGCAATTTAATAGGGGAAGGTGGGGAGAGACTGGGGATGGTTCCTTAAGAAAATCTGTCACTCAAACAGAAACTATGGGCAGGAGAGGAGGGATTTGTGACTTTTTTGAGACTGGGGTCTAGCTATGTTGCCCAGGCTGGGCCCGAATTTTTGGATTCAAGTCATCCTTATGCCTGAGTCTTTGGAGTAGCTGGAACTACAGGCATGTTGTGATGACTTATTTATAGCCTTTCCTCTTTTAAAAAAGGAATGGAAGAGGTTTATAATCAAACAGTAAGAGAGCTAGCAAAATATACATGGAAAGAGTAAAGCAGGAAGAGGAAGCTATATGCTAACTAGGGACTGAGAAAATTTAGTCTTGCGATTTCCAGCAAAAAGGGACATGATTGGGGCCGGGGATTTAGCTCAGTGGTTCTTCGGCCTGCCTTGCAAGGACAAGGACCCGAGTTTGATTCCCGGCACCAAAAAAAAAAAAAGGGACATGATAAACACATTGCTGTCTAGTACCTGGGCTGTGATGTGTAGCCCTGGGCCTGTACAGATGCTGACAGGATGCATGTCTGCAGTGGTGAGGCTTGGTGAGTGTACCATGTAGGTAGGGGCTGTGCATCATATCAGAAAATCTTCTCTAAGAGTCCTTCAGGAAAAGTTGTGGTTTTTGAGTACTTTTCTTTTCTTCCATCTTAGGGGCACTCTGAACTATGTAAAAGATCAGGATCCTGGAGAGGGGCCTAGAGTTTATTTTTTTTTTGCATGGCAGAATTTATTCAAGAAAGCAAAAATGAAGAGTGGGAGAGAAACTACCTCTGCAGAGGGAGCTTGGACTGAGTAAATAAAAAAAGAGAGTAAGAGCAAAGCTAAAAGTGCATGCTGTGACTGGGAAACAGTGTAGAAACACAGAAAGTTATGACTGCCTGTAGAGTTTACAAACACCTAGAAAAGGTCTCCTAGGTCACCATGGAAAAAACCTCAACTTTTTTCTACTTTACTGATGGCTTAATTTTAGGTCCTGCTCCCTCTGCCCAATTATTTGTTTCTTTTTTCTTTTTTGGTACCAGGGATTGAACTCTGGACCTTGTGCTTTCGAGGCATGTGGCAGAACCACTGAGCTACATCCCTGGCACAACTTTCTTATTTATGTTATACTGCATTTTATGTCCTCACTGGTAAGCTCCCTGAAATATTCTTCTGAAACAAAGTGTGGGGATGGAGTAGTAAATAAAATGAAAGGTAGTTTTCTTTCTTTCCTTTTTTTTTTGGTACCAGGGATCGAACTGAGGACCTTGCACTTGTGAGGCAGGCGTCGGAACCACTGAGCTAAATCCCCGGCCCTCTTTCTTTCCTTTTTTGAGACAGGATCTCCCTATGTACCCCAGGCTGGCCTTGAACTCATGACAACCCTCCTGCCTTAGCCTCCCATGTACTGGGATTACAGGTATGCACCACCATACCCAGCTGGGAAAGGTAGTTTTCATTGCCTTCTAGGAAATGGCATACTGGTTTGCAAGGCCATTAGATTTTTTTTTTTTTAGAAGCGGTCCCTGAAGTGGGACTGAGTCCTCAGGTAGAGGAGACCACATGTGATGGGGCAAAGCCCTCACAGCAGTTTTAGCAAAGGTACAACAATGATTTTTCCTAAGGTTGGTGCTTGATATGAGCTGAGAACTTCTGAAGTGGAGGCGACTCTGGCAGAGGCTGTTAGGTATGGCAAACATCTCACTGCAGGTGCTAACTCCTGTTGACAAGGGTTGCTGCCTGGAGAACTACGTTGAGAAAAGATTTTATAGCTGTGTCTGGAGAAAGTGTTATGATGAAGGAGTAAAATCCATCCATGGGCACATGAAAGAGAATCCTATTAAGTCGTAACCACATCCCTATGCACAGGTAATACATCCAGACGTGTGGTCTTGGAGAAATGGGATGGGAGAATGAGGGGGTAGAGAGAGCCCTAATGACAGGGAGCAGGGATTATAGTCTGCTCTTTAGCATGAAGGAATGGGCATTCTGAGCCTCCCTCTCCACATTGGTTGGGCTGAGGGAGCCTCCAGATTTGGAGGTAAGCAGTTGCCAACAGCCAGAATCCTGGTCCCTGGGCCAGATGGGTCTTTGGCGGTGGTACCGGAACAGGATGCTCGCTTACCATCTTCCCGCCTGTTGCCCGCATGTGGTGATTCTCGGCCAGCCAGTGCTTGTCCTGAGGGTCAGCTGCATACTGTGAGGGATGAAGTCACACAGTGGGAAACATTAACTTAGTGTGAAGGCTTTTCTCTTGGCCCTTGAGAGTTCTTACCAAGACCTCATCTGAGCCTGGTAGATGCAGAGGACGGACCAGCTCAGAGCACCAAAGCCTAGCCTAGGAGGTCAGAGACTGTGAGCCATTTCCCAGAGATTTAGTGTATTTCTAATCCTCTTCTACATCCTTTCCCAAAGCACAGTATCACTGGCAACTAGTGGGGTGCTGACTATTATTTTATTTTATTTTTTATTTTTTTGGTACCGGGGATCGAACTCGGGTCCTTGTGCTTGTGCAGCAGGTGGCAAAACCACTGAGCTAAATCCCTGGCCAGGTGACTATTATTTTAGAGCTTCCTCTTTTATTTTATCGATTGATGGTTTTTTTGAGATAAGGTCCTAAGTTCAGGCTGGCCTCAAACTCAAATGATCCTCCTGTCTCAGTCTCCCAACTGCTGGGACTACAGGTGTACATCACCATGTGCAGCTGTCTTTTTTTTGTACTGGGGATTGAACCCAGAATCTTTGCACTAAGCTGCATCCCCAGCTGTTTACATTTTATTTTTTATTTTAAGACAAGTTCTTGTTAAGTCACTAAGTTGCCCAGCCTGGGCTCAGACTTGTGATCCTCCGGCCTCAGTTTCCCAGAGTGCTGGAATTACAAGTGTGTGCTGCCACACCTGGCTGCAAAATGGCAAGTAGTAATTATATTTGTCTTACAGGATTTTTTTTGGGGGGGGTACTGGGGATCGAACTCAGAACCTTGTGGTTGCAAGGCAGGTGGCAGAACCACTGAGCTAAATCCCCAGCCCCTGTCTCACAGGATTTTTGTTTGTTCGATTTTAGGGTTTTGAGACAGGATCTTGCCCAGGCTGGTCTTGAATTTGTGGAAATCTTCCTGCCTCAGCCTCCTGAGTACTAGAATTACAGGTGTGTGCCACCACCCCAGTTTAGGGTTGTTGTTAATAATAAGTAAATAAGCTGGCCATGCTGGTACATGCCTCTAAGCCTAGCACTTGGGAGGTTGAGGCAGGAGGATCTCCAGGAGTTCAAGGCCAGTGTGGACTACAAAGTGAGACCTTGTCTTACCCCCACCCCCAATAACACGGTGCATAAAAAGTGGTAA